ACCACTGGAGATCAAGAGTCCCATGCTCTACTGACGGAGCCAGCCAGGCGCCCCTAAAGTTAGGCTTTTGAAATGGCTTTACTGCCTGCTCACTACAAGGAACATTGCTTTTCAAAACCAAAGTAAAACTTTGAATAATTTGCTCTGGAGACAGAGATCACCCTGGCAATATAATTACTAAAGAGTGGGTATATAGTGAGCTGCCTCTCACGTGGGCTGCTTTAGCTGGGGATGCCCAGGGTGACCATCAGCAGGGACAACAGGGTTTCCCTACGGATTGGCTCACCATTCTCTTGAGCAGTACCGAGAAGGTCCACTGGCTTCACATCAGCATCTCCTTTTCCATAGAACGGACACTTTTTGTCCTACCTTTTAAAATCTTGAGAGAATTGTTACAGAAGAAAAAAAAATGCATTACATCCTATTGATTCTTCCCCAAATGGCAAAAGAAAAATCACTGTTGTTGCAAAGTTGTTTGTCATTGTTACTTATTATTTTTTCCAAAACAAAAACAATAAAACAAATAGTCACATGCCCTGTATAAATTTGTTTTATTTAGCTGAGAACTTGACCTATGAATATCACAGAAATGCATATATATTCAATATGTAGTTGAACTGGTGAATTTTTAGTTGAATTTAGTTGAATTTCAATATTGAATTTTCAGTGTATACATGTGGCATCTCCCTCGCACATTACCACATAGCCCAAATGAAAGTGCTGAGCTTAGGGCCTGGTATGTAGTAGGTGCTCTATTTGTGATAAATTTGAACCTATTATTTCGCATTAAAAATAACATTTTAGAGTGGGAAGGAAAATCAGAGATCATCTTATGCAAGCTGGTTATTTTACAAATGAGAAAACTAGATTTCCAATTTCAAAACTGATGATTAGAGTAAGTACTTCTCAGGGTTCTGGTGAGGGCACAATGAGCTGATGCATGTGGAGTACTCAGCACAAAGCCTGGCACATGGCAAATACTCAGTAGGGATCAGACGGTAGTTATGTCAAGTGGGAACTCTTATTTGCTGACTAACTGTTGACATTGTGGTAGAAAAGAAAATGCGATTATAGGAGCAAAGGAGAGCATGAAACCTAATATATTTGGCAAGAATTTTATGTGTGTCATAATTACATAGGTTTCTTATGAAGCTCCACTTAGTTTAACAACCAAAACTAAAAGGAGAAGGAGGTGGAGGAGGGAGGCAGGGGGAGGAGGATCAGCAGGGGGAGAATGGGGAGGGGGAGAGGGAGGAGAAGAAATCTGTCACATATAGAAATTCATCTAAAATGGGCACAGGAGGGCGGCGCCTGGGTGGCTCAGTCGGTTAAGCGTCTGCTTTCAGCTCAGGTCATGATCTCAGGGTCCTGGGATCAAGCTCCCCGCTCAGTGGGGGGTCTGCTTCTCCCTCTCCATCTGCCCCTTCCCCTTCTCACACTCTCTTGCTCTCTCTCTCTCAAATAAAAAAATAAAATCTTAAAAAAAAATAAAAATAAAATGGGCACAGGAACTTCTCTGAGTGGCTGTGTCCCTCTCCAGCATCATATCCTGAGATCATGGTTCACTTTTGAGATTCCCTGTGCCTTACCTGAGTCTCCTTCTGCCCCCCTATGATTTCCAAAGATGTACCCCACATGTTGTATAAGTATTTGAACTCCATGTGGGTGATGTAGGTGATTGCTCATTTGTTTAATATCCAAACCTTTTTTATTTATTTATTTTTCAGGAATATTGTTAGATCAAGAAATTCTGGATTTGAGTAACATTGCTCTGGTAGGCAGAAAATGTCCCCCAAAGATGTCCCAGATTAGCTGGGTGGGCCCAATGGAGTCACAAGGATCCTCATAAGAGGGAGGCATGCGGGTCACAGTCCTCAGAATCATCGCCTGTATGATGGAAGCAGAGGTTGGAGGGACATCATTGCTGGAAAGAGCCCCAAGCCAAGGAATGCAGGCAGCCTCTAGAAGGCGGGAAAGCAGGAAAACACACTCTCCCCTAGAGCCTCCAGAAGGAAGGCCACCCTGCCAATAGCTTTACTTACCCGAGAAAGGCCCATGGTGGACTTCTGGCCTCCAAAACTCTTAAGATAATAAATGCATGTTGTTATCAACCACCAAGTTCATGGCAGTTTGCTTCAGCAGCAATAGGAGACTAATACATTTGTTATTTTGGATTATGTTGGACATTTTTGCTAAGCATGCATTAGTTCTCACTGATCACCAACTGCTGCAAAGCAACCTTATGATTTAGAAAACAGTTTTTTATTTTATTTTTTCAGTGAAAGAGCAAGCATTTTCATTACATTCTTCGGAAGTGTGAAGAACTGTTTAATCCAATTTTCAGAGGGTTTCCTATTTTTCTTGATAGAGAGAGGAGTGTATTTGTAACATAACTCTGTTCTGATTTGACATGGAAGGGTTTTTGCTATCCAAAAGTCTTTGATTGATTGCATACTTTATTGGTATGTCTTCATTAGTGAAAATCCTGTTTTATGGCCCATATTTGTGTTCTCCCCAAATCCATATGTTGAAATTCTAACCCCCAGTGTGATGTATTTAAGAGGTGGGGACTTTGGGTGGTTTAGGCCATGAGAGTGGAGCCCTGATGAGTGAGATTAGTGCCTTTATATGGAGGGACGGGAGAGCGTGTTCTGGTCTCTGGCACTCTGACTCTGTCACGTGAGGCTACAAGAAACTGGCCGTCTGCAGGCCAGGACACAGGCTCTCTCCAGACACCAGATCTGCCAGCACCTTGATCGTTGACTCTAGCCTCCAGAACTGTGAGAAATACATTTCTGTCGTTTCAGCCAGTCGATGGTAATTTGTTATCGCAGCCCAAACAGACCGAGACATCACATACTGCCCAAAGTCACAGAGCGAACGTGAAGTAGGACTTCGTTTTGCTGATAATGAATTACTTCTCTGAAATTAGCTCAGTTGCAATGGCTTTGATCTCTGCAGTATCAGTAATGATATATCAGTGTATGCATATGATAGTTACCTTTAAAGGACATATGAGAATTAATCATCATTATCACACTCTAACCAATGTTACAGAATAATGTTACGATTAACAGTTTGACTTTACATGGACTGCTAGGCTAGAAGGAATGGGGCCCTGGGAGCCCATCAGACACTTTGGTGAACATTAGAAGACACCCCCTCTGGGTGGAAACTTTCCCGAGGGTGCAGGCCATGACAAGCCAGCGGGGGCATGGGCTAGATTTGAAGAGCTACCTCTTGGGCCGGGTGTAACTCACATAGCCACCTGCAGAAACCCTGGGAAGGGGCCTTAGACGTCTTTCAAGAAAGGTAGTCATGGTGCAGTAGGGAAAACAATGGCCTTGGCCTTATACAGATGGGGGTTGAATCCTTTCTCCATTATTTACTAATAAGGTGACCTGAGCAAGCTACATCAGTTCGCTGAACCTAAAATTGCTCATCTGTAAAATAAAGACAAAAATATTTATTTTGAATAATTGTTGTCAGAATGAGGAAGAAAGTATGGAGAGTGCCTGGCCCACACTAGATGGTGGTCATTATCATGTAGTTTGCAACTTCTCATTTTGTAGTTGAGGAATGGAGACGTCGAAAGGGCTGGGCCTCACCTAAGGCACATTAACACTTTTCCCCCATTGGACCCCCAGCCACTGCCAAGGGTGACTTGAAGCAGAAGTGAGTTTGGTGATTTTTTTTTTCCTAGGTGTGGGAAAAATATAACCATTTCGATGGGCTCTGGGCCTGAGATTTTACTTTCACACCAATTATTTACTTACAGCCCATTTTGGTGACTTTGAACATCGGACACTTAATTTTTAAAAAAGGAATTTATTTTCTATTTAGACTGTCATTAGCAATAGGGAACCACTCAAGTCTGCAATTTGGTGGGGGGGAATAAGAGCCTATGAATCGCTTAGTTACTTCATAAGAGGGAATGGAGAGGGGTCCCCAGGACCCCAGGGGACACGATGCTGTGTTTATACCAGGTGGGTGTCACCTGGTGGTCACGGTTTGACACTTTCAAGGTGTTACAGATGCTTCTGAAACCCTTGAAAGCTCTGAACTCAGTTGCCAGGAAAATTCACAAAAGCCTGCACTTGGACTCCTTGGAACACATCCATCTTGGTCAAGGTTAGCATCTTGATGAAGTCATTCCACTACCAGAGGCAAAAGTGAATTTGCTCTGCACACACCTGAAGCAGTGATCACGTTGAAGCCTGTGGCCGGGCTAATGTGGTCAGTAAGCACATCCCACGCAGTCCAGTGTGAATCAGCCCCAGGCACTCAGAGAATGAAATCTCTGGAGGGCAGGGATTTTTGTCTGTCTGTTCTCTGCTCTACTCTCAGCCCCTAGATCAATTTCAATACTCATTGAATGAATAAATGTAACAAGGCTCTCAGATATTTACCATATAATAAACTGTTGCCAGTCTTCCGTATCATTTATTTTTCAACGGTCAGCAGGACTTTATGGTAAACTTGATAAGACATTGACATTTCCAGTCGTTTTCCCAACTCAGCTCTGCACTCTGCCACTGTCTCTTGGATCCATCTCCTATCACGTTAACTACCCCTTCCAGCCCTGTGCCATCTGCATATTTGATGAGTGACATCCGTCTGCTAAGCAGTACTGAGGCTGTGGGATGGAAGGATGTCCCTTCCATCTGGAAGGGACAGATGGGCCCAGCAGGGAATCATGAGCAATTAGAACAGAAAAGATGCCATGGAAACCTCCAGAAGCTCAGTGTCAAGCAAAGGTAAAGTAAGTCCAAATCGGGTGGTCATTTTAGATGGAGCAAATTTAGGGGATGAGACAACTTTTACTTGGCATGAAGACAGGGGACCTGAGAAAGGATTCACCCCAGCAGGCAATGTAGGGATAGTGAATTAATGAAGTTTGGTACCTGTATGAGCAAGGGCTCTCCAGACAAACAGAATCAATAGGACATGTGTGTGCAAAGAGAGAGAAAGACAGGCAGAAGGAAAGAGAATTCTTTTTTTAAAGATTTTATTTTATTTATTAGAGAGAGAGCATGAGCATGAGCAGGGGGAGAAGCAGAGGCAGAGGGAGAAGCAGGCTCCCTGCTCAGCAAGGAGCTCGATTCGGGGCTCGATCCCAGGACCCTGGGATCATGACCTGAGCTGAAGGCAGAAGCTTAACCGACTGAGCCACCCATGTGCCCCAGAGAATTTTTTTTTTTTTTTAACTGGCTCATATGACTGTGCAGACTGGCAAGTCCAAAATTTGCAGGCTGGGCTGGCAGGCTGGAGATCCAGGGAAGAGTTGCAGTTTGAGTCCAGTGGCAGCTTGCTGGCAGAATTCCCAATCCCTTGAGGGAGGTCAGTCTTTATCCTAAGGCTTTCAACTGATTGGGTGAGGCCCACCCACATCCTGGAGGGCAATCTCTCTTACTCAAAGTCTACTGATTGAAATGTTAATCCCATTCAAAAAACACCTTCACAAAAACATCTAGAATAGTGTTTGACCGAATATCTGGGTACAGTGGCCTAGCCAAGTTGGAACAGGTAATTAACCATCATAGTACTACTGCCTAAGGGAAACCCAACACAAAGCAACGGGGTTTATCTAACTCATGAATTAGGACAACATTCTAATCCCGCTGGGTATTCACATGCTTCCAGGCCCCTTTGTAATTCCATCCCTTATGCCTTCCCCTCACCGCTGACTCATCCTGAAATGCCCTTCTCCAAACCTGCTTCCTTCCCCAATGGAAAAAGTCTACTCATCTTTCCAAGTTCCTATCAAATGTCAACCCTGTGATACTTTCTTTAATACCACATCCCATGCAGGAGAACTAATTCCTTCCCTCAGTCCTTCATGCATGTACTGTCCTAGCATTTATCACACTGCATTCCAACTGCTTGACCATCCAACAGGGGATTAGCAAAGTGGTTACAAGAATACACTTTGGTTCCAGACTTCCTCAGCTGAATTCTGGACCTCAGCAAGTTACCCAGTGTCTGGATACGTTAGTTTCTTCATCTATAAAATGGAAATAAAGTAGTACCAACAATCTGAACTTATAGTGAGGACCCGGTATATGTAGGACTTCTAGAACAGTGTCCAGTATGTAGTAACCACTAAAGAAAAAAAAAGGCAGGGACGCCTGGGTGGCTCAGTTGGTTAAGCGTCTGCCTTTGGCTCAGGTCACGATCCCGGTGTCCTGGGATGGGGTCTCTCATCGGGCTCCTTGCTGAGCGGGGAGTCTGCTTCTCCCTCTCCCTCTGCCCCTCCCCCCCACTCCTGTGTTCTCTCTCTCTCTGTCTCTATAGCTTGCTCTCTCTCAAATAAATAAATAAAATCTTAAAAAAAAAGGAAAAAAGGCAGTTATTTTCATTCTTAGTGTTACTGTTCCTATCTGATGCCTATCATGTGGAAGGATGAAATGTTTCTGGAGGACGGGAATGTTACCATATGCCTCTTTCCTCCCCCCTCTAATATTGTGTGGAACAGAGCAGGGGTCGACAGGCATTTACTGGAGGGTTCATCACCTTATATCTGTAGAGCTCTCTAATCACAGATACATATATTGATTCAAAGGTTGCCAACAATATTGTCCATTTAAACCTCATTACAACCTTGGGAGGTCTTACACCCCCATTTCACAGAGGAGGAAAGTGAGAAGCGGACAGTAAGTGAATTGTCCAGTGATCACACAGCTGGCAAGTGGCCGAGTCTCTAACTCCAAGGTCAGTGAGAGGGAAGGGCAGAGAGGCCAGAGTTCGGGAAAGCTTTCTTGCCTGGTCCAGGGACCGCCCTTCCTCCCTGCACTTCCTTCTCCTTACCTTCCAGAACACGGCGCTCTGGACTGCAAAGCCTGCGCACGCAAGGAGGTCCCTGTTCACGCTGCAGAACTGACTCAGGAGAGGGTGCGAGCCGCAGAGGGCGATCAATACAGGATATCCTCAGCCGTGACTGTGGCCTCTTCGACTTTGGTCTTAATCTCCGGGAGCGGAATTTGGCTGACTGCCACCACTGCCAGGTTTGCGGCGTGCGCCGAGGCGCTGGCCACGCAGATCCAAAAGGACTCTTCGTACCGTTCCTCCACCACCACGAAGCGGAAGAGCTTCTCCTGGAAGTTGGCGATGCGCTCGGTGAGGTCGTGAAACTTGACCGCGGCCATGAAGCTGGTGATGGCCAATGCCATGACTCCACCTGCAACCCAAAACGTCACCCTCGTTCAGCGCTCCTTGGTACAGCTGTGCCGGCCCTCTGTGAGGTGGCATTTCTGTGGCACAGGCGACAAGCTTGCTTTGGGTTGAAAAATTTCTTAGGGTGACACAATGATTTTTTTCTTTCTTTCTTTTTTTTTTTATTCTTATGTTAATCCCCATACATTACATCATTAGTTTTAGATGAAGTGTTCCATGATTCATTGTTTGTGCACAACACCCAGTGCTCCATGCAGAATGTGCCCTCCTCAATACCCACTACCAGGCTAACCCATCCTCCCACCACCCCCCCTTTTTTTTTTCTTAAGTAAACTCTCCCCTCCTCCTCTACCTCAGGACTCCAAGGTGCGGGGTCATGCACTCTACCGATGGAGCAGCCAGGCACCTGGGGATGACACACCTTTTCATGTGCTTTTAAAAGCAGCGGATAATTCACACTGTGAGTGGGGAGAGGTGTGGGAGAGAGAGAGAGTAGGCTTCATCTCAGATCATCTGCATTCCCTTACCCAACACGGCGTATCCACATTTGGGTACGTTCAGTCTCTACATATCTCGGGGTTTGGATGGAGACCCTGAGGCCTCTGTGGGAGGATTAAGAACCCCTCAGTGTGCAGACTGGGGGTCCAACCCAGCGCTGGACTGTTCTCTCTTCTTTATCCCTTTTCCACGCTTAAGGGTAAGAAGAGGAGGTAAGAGAAGGAGGAGAGGAAGTAGACGGGAACCTGGAAGGGTTCCAAACTTCACCTACTTCCCTACCTGTTGCTTCCGACCTCCACGTCTCTCTCTTCTACTTTTCTACTGCTTGCTTTTAATATTTAAAAGACAAATTTATCATGCTTTTTGCTTAGATTATTATGTCTTCATTAAAGAAAATTTGGACACCAGAGAAAATCACAAAGATGAAAATACAAATTCACTTTTATCCTAAAAGCCAGGTATAAATACTTTGAACGTTTTAATGTATTCTCTTTAACAAAATTGTATTCTGAAGCTCTTACCGTTTTCTGCTTGTTTTTTCCCCTTTACTTGAACATTTGTCTATATTGTTAAATATTCTGTTATAGCACCACTTCGAACTGATGCATAATATGTTCTTCAAGCAACACACCTACTTAATTTAATTAAGTTTAATTGGGTATGACTTTATTTCTGGATATCTAGATTGCAACTAAATTTTGGTATTACAAAGTGCTGCAGAACATATGAACACCTTTTTATAAACATCTCTGTGCTCTTTTCCAGTTATGGCCTTAGTATAAACCCCTATTTGGATTTGTTTAATTAAAAAATATTCATGTTTTCGGGGCTCATTTGAGTGGCTCAGTTGGTTGAGTCCCACTCTTGGTTTCGGCTCAGGTGGTGATCTCCAGGTCACGGGATCAAGACCCGCCTCAAGCTCCACGCTCAGTGGGAGGTTTGCTTCTGTCCCTCTCTCTCTTTGCCTCCCCACCCCGCTCACGCTCGCTCTCTCTAAATTAAATAAATCTTTAAAAAAATATTCATATTTTTATGCCTTTTAACACTAAAGTTCCATTGAACTGCCTTTTTAAAATATTCTCATCAGTAGTGCTTGAGAACGCCATCTCTCTGATGTAGTAACTTGACAGAGATGAACATTTATTTAATCGTAGGACTGAGCACTTTTTACATGCCAGCCACTACGAGGATTCATGTGGATGGAAACAAGACACCTGCAGTCCAGATGGGGTGAGCCATGTATATAAGTAATTCTATAGGATGGTCACGGTCTGCAAATGCAGGCAAATACATAGTAACTGATCTACTGACATTACATTACAATACATGCTAAAACAACATTATCTGCTTGTGTACTTTATGGTCACCTTGTATAAAGCAAACGTAGTGATGGGTTATTGCCATCATGATCCTTGACCATTTGACTGAGGGTTTTCTGAAACAGCCTCATTTCTGGGGTTTTTATTATTTTTGCTATGTATGGCTTTTTAAGTGCATAACTAAATGTGAATTAATTTCACATAATTATTGTGTATCAATATACTCTCAAATCAACACACACTTTTGGTTTTTGTCTCAGAAAATAGGTCACGATCGTTATAAAGGATACCATGATTAAAGAAAAGACAAAGGGCTTAGACTCAGTTGTACGTTGGTTGGAATCCCACCTCTGCTACTTACTGCTGTGTGGCCTTGGGTAAGGCTTTTAATTTCTCTGAGCTTCAGGATCTTCATCTGTAAATATGGGTCTAATGATACTGCCTCATAAGGAGGTTGTGAGGTTTAAATGAAAAGAGGCCTATAAAAGAGGCCAAATGCTCATCTCCTGTCATTTGGAAGGCTCTCTCCCACCCTCACAGCTGTGGCCCCACCTCTTCCCCTCTTCCTCTCTTCCCCCTGCCACCCCCAGCTCTCTTCTCTCTTCTCCTCTTACCCCCACCTCTCCTCTTTGCTCTAAGTCCTCAGCCACTCAGGCATGCCACCAATTTGGCTCTTTACTGTGACAGAGATTCTGCAACTTTCAGTAAAGAGGACATTCATGCCCATGAGGAAGGTTATAGATTAGAGAAGTGGAGGCTGAGGCGGGTGTTTTAATTCCTGCACACCCTCTACCTACCTACTTGGAACTCAGCCTTGTCGTGGCACTGGACGTGAATTTCTCTCCCTGGGGGCCTTCCTTACCTGCCAGGACATTCCATAGGCAGATGCCCCCAGGGCCGTTGACTGCCCTATATGGAACCTGGATCATGTTGAGAATGGCAAAGCCCATGCTGACCAGAGCCAGGGCCAAAGCCAAGAAGAGGAGCAGCAGAATTGTCACGTGGAGGCCTGCATTGAGTTCCTTCACCAGGTGTGGGAAGACTGGGAAGAGAAGACACAGCCAATATTTCAGTGTCAGAGCTGGGCTCAAGTTCATACAGTCCAGGCCTGCTTACCCCAGAAGCTTTAATAGAGGGGAGAGAGGGCAAGGCAGCAAGGGCTGGGTTTTCAAAAAGCAGGAGACTTCTCAGGTGGCCAATAATCCTCTCTTTCTGGCAGTGGATGCAGAATCGGAATGTGCCCTAGCTGGCAATTTAAGTTGCACTGACTTCAAAGCCCCGGGATCTGGTGTGAGCTGATGCACACAAGCCCTAAACGGTGGCTCTTTAGCAAAGGAGGTTGGCAAGAGAGTCAGCCAAAGAGGGCCGATTGAAAAGCTTTAATCTGGGTCAGAGAGAAATCAGAGAGGTAGAAGAGGTTTCAGGTACATCTGTGAAGAGTGTAGAAAGGCATAGCAGAGTGAAGCCTAGACCTGGCATCCAAAGATCTGGGTTCAAATCCCAGTTTTGCTCATTTGCCACAAGTATAAAATAGGATCCTCTAATCCCTGCCTCCCCTACCCATCTTACCAGATTGTTGAGTAGATCAAGTGAAGTGCACAGGAATAATAATAGCACTTAATAAGCACTGATAGGAAGCTAGGAGCATCATCTTGGATCCCTCATAATGACTTGGCAAGGTAGTCATTTTTCCCCATGTATGATGGACCCTTACTTCTCATGTGCACTGTATTCTATTAGAGTATTAATTTTCCATATTAATGTGGCAGGATAATTTGGCGAGATATTAATTTGTATCTGTTTTCTCTATATTGGCCACCACACAGTAGCCATGAAGAGTAAATGATACAGTATGGCAGATATTGCCTGGGAAAGACTGAGTTCTCAAAATGGCAGCCGGGGCTGTTGCGGTTCTATTGTTACTCTCTGACTTAGGAAAAGTCACGTGACTCCTCAGAGCCTCAGTTTTCTCATCAGTATAATGGGGTAGCAATAGCTGCCTATGAATGGAGGGTAATCAACATTTACTGAGTACAGTCATGTCAAGAGCCAAATCCTTTACATCATTATTTTATTCAGTGCTTGTGACAAGGATATAAGGTAGATTTTATTAAACCCATTTCAGCATAGGCTTGGACATTAAGTCCCTTATCTTTGGGCAAGGTGACTCTGAATTCTATATAGGATTATAGTCCTAGATACCATATGATATATGGAGTTTAGAGCATTGTTTTCAGTAATTACACTGAGGAATTAAAAATGACAGAAGCTAAAGAAAGCTAAAGAATGCCCAAGCATACCCCTTCCTCTGCAGCTACTCTGGGGTTTCTACTGAGCACCTCCTGGTCAAATCAGGGTCCACTTTGTGAATCCAAACTCCCTGCTTCATCCTTTGATGTCAGGACCAGCCCCTCCTTGTCTCTGCCCCCCGCCCCCCTGGGGAGCCGGGACTCAAAGCTTTCCTGGTTCCCCTCACTCTCCTGAACGCTTTTCCCCTCTGGCTCTTTGCTGGCTCACCTGCCTCCCTGTAGTCACAGAAGGTTGGCACCTCCCAAGCTTGAGAACTAGAATTTTGATCCTTCTCCCTTTAAAATCCTTTCCATTGAGAAGTTTCCAGACACTCCATATTTACATCCTAGTTCTAATCTAACTTTCTTTCCAGTTTTGCATTTCCATTTGTATTTATCTCCATGTGGTTATCTTGTCGGCATCAGAAACTTTACCCTGGGCTTCTATCCAAGGGATTTTTCTTTGCAAGGCTTCTCTTTAACCATTGCGTCTCTCCTTTCTTAGTGTGCCTTAGGTTTTTTTTTTTTTTTTTTTTTCCAAACTTTCAGCCCTGTGTGAGAGAACGCTGTGATAGATGCAAGTCTGTCCCTAACCTGCAGCAGTGTAAAACCAGCCGACACAGCCTGGCTCAGCTCCAGTGAAAGTATTCAGAGAGAATCACACCCAAGGCTCTGTGAATGGAAGTTTATATACCTTCCCTGGGGACACCCCAGGGCAGCTGGGAACTAAACATTTCTTTTATTCGTATAAGTGATGCCAATTCATATTATTATATTTGTCAATGGCTTTAGCTTTCTGTCTTTATGCATTTAATAAGATACTTAACCCTGGGCAGGATTCTAAAAACTACAATTCTGAAATATAGAAATCAAATGAGTAAAATTCCTTATCCCCTTGCATTGCATTATGTTGATGAATTATGGTTGTGTAGGACACTGTTCTCATGAGCGATCCAACTGATTCTAAAGGCTTGCAGAATATTGACTTCTTTGCTTTGCTCATAAGCTGTCTGGCCCAGCTTATGAAGGGTGCAGATCCTTCATAAGCTGGGCTTGGATTTCTGCTCTGTTTACACGGGCAGCAGCTCTGAGGGGAGACTAGATGTCAGCTGATGACAGTGCCTGCTCACGTTCATGGAGAGCTGCCAGTGCCTTGCCCCAGATCTCCCCTCCAGGGATCGCCCAATTTGGACTCTCAACCCAAGTAGTCTGATTCCAGAGCCCGGGCTCACAGCCCCTTTGCCTGTTCTCAGACTATGGAGCTTTTATATAAACAGAAGTGAAAGCGCGCTGGGCTGGCTGATAATACCCCAGTCACGTGGCATGGTTCCGAAGTCTGGCTCTGCTGTTTCCTGGCTGGGGGACCTCAGGCAAGTTATATAACCTCTCCAAGTCTCAGTGTTGTCCTCTGCAAAATGGGAACATTTAAGAATTCCTTCTTCATAAATTTGTTATAAGGTTTAAAAGAGAGAAGCCATGTAAAGCATTTAGCAGAATGTCTGATACATATATCAGTATTTTAATAGTTACTTCTAATAGAGGTAAACTACAGAAGTATACAAATCTCTATTTTTAATATTTCTATAAGCCTCTACAGAAAAAAAAAATTTCTTTTGGTGGTCATCATGCCTTAGATTGAGGCAGAAGTCAAATTCCACAGTTAGAGATAAGCACCCTTACAAATTAAAAAAAAAAAAAAAGTGTTCTACAGCAGCTTGCGTGCCTGGAATATACTCACTTGTGAATTGGGACTGGCGGCCCCCAAGCCCGCACTGTCGAACTTTACATCCTCGGAAGAGCCCGTAGTAAATATCGCCAATGAACTTGACCAGCTCTGGATCAGTGGCATTGACCAGGTCCACTCCAGTCTGACAAAGGATTTTCCCACTCAGCCAGTGGGGCGCTGCCAGGGCAATGATGATCAGGATAAAGGAGGAGAAGCTGAGTAAAGATGATAGCCCATACCACACCTTTTTGAACCATCCAGGCATTCTAGTGGGTGCAGGTCATCCTGCAGGTGGCCGGCATTCTCTGGACACTCTGCAATCCCCTGCTCCAGGGTTAGCTCTTCCAAATACAGCATTTCAGGATTTCCAGTGCATCTTCTGGTCCTCCCTCAATGCCTGCCTCCACAGCCCGTGTTTACTACAAGCACGTCCGGAAGTCTCTACAGAGACCGCTTTCACCTGACTCAAGTGTAGAGGAGTGTGTTACTGAAGGAAGTAACTGTATATCTCCCACTAGACTACTGTTTCAGCAGAGGGTTTAATTGTTCCTTTCAGGTATTTAAATTACCCTGGAGTGGACCTCTTGATGGCCAGGAAGTTATTAGCAGGCAAAACTAGGTAAACCTGACTATAAAGAGACACTAACTACTCTCAAAAAATGCATGCAATAGAAGGAAACTGAGCATGTAATGATTAGCACTTGAATGCTGCCCACAATGCATGGTGTCAAATGTCGAGCTCCTGGCTGTGTGCCTGGGCATTTCTTTCTGTAAAATGTCACTGCTGTCAGAACTCCAGAACTGTTATTAATACTTTTGGATGACCTCTGTTCTCAAGGCTTTTAATTGAAATGTGTAAACAAGGCTATATGATACTTGGATTTATCATTCAGTGAATCTGTTGTGGGTAAATTGCAGCAGGAGTCGGTTTGTGGCTGGACTGGGGCAGCCTGGACCCCAACACTCCCATTCCTGTCCTCCAACAGCACCCTCCCCCGCAACCTTGTGTCATCTGAAGTGGGAAAGAAAAGTGTTTTTCTAATGTGTTAGCAAATACCCACCTTGTCAGGGGCTTTACTTCTTCTACTACTGAAAATCTGTTTTGTTTTGTTTTTTTCTTTTAATCTGTAGCCACCACGAATGAAATATTCCCTACTTTCTATTTTATACTGTGGCTTTTCAATTTTGATTTTTAGTCCATTACTGAATGCCAACTTGATGTCATGTGAGACTGGTAACAGCGACTCTCAATAGTTTGGGGGAGTCACATTTGGCAGAAATGGCACAATAGAATGTTTATTTGGTCAGAGAGGTCTGGAGGCGGGGGCGGTTCCGGAGTTTGCATTGTTAACCGACAGGAGTTCCAGAAACCTCACTTGGAGAGCAACGAGGGGCCAGAGGGACATGGAAATGGAAATGTCAGTTTCCTTCCCTATAGTGGGGTTCACTTCTGAAAATAAACAAGAGTGTCCCTGAAGCTTGTGTAGAGCTTTTCCTGGTACAAAAGGCTTTTACCATATGCTTGCTCCGCCCCCCCCCCCCCCCCCCCCCCCCCCCCCCGCTGCAGCAAGGCTTTGTGGTAGGCAAGGGATGTTCTATCCTAATGACCCCTCTCATGAGAAAACTGGATGCAGGGCTTGGGCTGGAGTTCAGGTCTTTGAAATACAGCAGCTCATCTTCATCACAGTGACCCTGAAATAGCAAATGTTTTTCTGGTAATGAAGACATAACAAAAGGCTGAGAAGAGGAGTTGGCACATTAATAAAAGACCAATAATGGTCTTACAGTAATGTTAAGTATGCTTTGGACCTGCGCAATACCTTTGCATCGTATTTCTGCCTCAGATGATGGACCAATGTCAACTATTGTGTTTTAGGGATTAAGCAATTATTTTTAGAACGATTATTTTAGAAAAATAATGGGAAACAAATGATTCCCAACAAGCCCTTGAGATGCTGAATGGAAATGTGGTTAAGTAGAACTCTCCTGAAGACCTGGGTTCAAATTCCTACTCCTCTGGGCAAGTACTTGAGACTCTTGTGCCTCAGTTTCCTAATCTGTCATGGGATTATTGTACAAAGTAAAATGAAATAGCACACGCAGATTATGGCATACAGAGGGCACCAAAAATGGTGTTGACCTCCTCATCCAGTCTTCTAGCAATTCTGTTCCTGGTAATGACGCTTCTCATAATTAATTGTGTTGCGGGTGACATCCTGTTCTCCAGGAACGTATTTTTGTCTGCCTTGTCTGGCACACATGTATTGAGCAAACATCTTTGTGTCTGCTACATGGACGCCACACTGCGTTTGGGTGGAGGGGGACACAAACATGTATAATATTGCCAAAACAGTGATGCAAAAATTGCAGTATACTGTATTTTAAATGTTTAACACTTTACAAATTAATGCTTTTAAAACAACAACAACAACAACAACAAAACACCCACGAAAATTATTACAGGAGTTTTTTTTTTTTTTAATTTTTTTTTATTCTTATGTTAATCCCATACATTACATCATTAGTTTTAGATGAAATGTTCCATGATTCATTGTTTGTGCATAACACCCAGTGCTCCATGCAGAATGTGCCCTCCTCAATACCCACCACCAGGCTAACCCATCCTCCCACCCCCCTCCCCTCTAGAACCCTGTTTGTTTTTCAGAGTCCATCGTCTCTCATGGTTCATCTACCGCTCCGATTTCCGCCGCTTCATTCTTCCCCTATTACAGGAGTTCTAAAAAATATGACTCCATATGGCACAACAGGCCTTTGGTCTGGAAGAGACACAGTTCAAATGTAAGTCCTATAATAATGTTTTTGGACCTCTGTGACTGTATGTAAGACCCCCTTTGTCCAGAATGTTAAAGGTCCACAGTTAAGCCCCACCAAATGGTACCCACTGCCCCTCCTTTTTTTTTTTTTTTTTAAGATTTTATTTATTTATTTGAGAGAGAGAATGAGAGAGAGCACATGAGAGGGGGAGGGCCAGAGGGAGAAGCAGACTCCCCGCCGAGCAGGGAGCCCGATGCGGGACTCGATTCCGGGACTCCAGGATCATGACCTGAGCCGAAAGCAGTCGCCCAACCAACCGAGCCACCCAGGCGCCCCCCACTGCCCCTCCTAACAGAGCCTGGCATTTTTTTTCTTGTAAACTCACACTCTCTAAGAAGTGCAGTGACTGTAACAGAAGTAGTGACGAAAATAATAATATTAATAATGCTCAATCTGCATTTATTGAGGCCCTACCTCTGGCCACACAGTATGTAGTCTAATACTCTAGTATTATTTTTTACAATCCTTTCCAAAACCCTAGGAGGACAGACCATTAGTATTCCCATTTTACCGAGGGGAGACTGAGGCACAGAGCAGTTCAGCGAATTGCTTAGGGCCACCCAGCTGTTCAACAGGGAAGCCAGGCAGTCGAGCTGCAGAGCCTGCACGCTTACTTAAAGGTAAGATATATACGTGGTTTGTGCTGTCTCCCCAGTGGACTCTCAGCATCGTGAGCGCACATCTGCTTTCCACCCTCCCCACCCTCAGCCCCGCGCCCTGCACGCCCCGGGTGCCCGGCACCCGCAGGCCCGCGGGCCGCGGGGCTCTGCGGGTGCACCTGCAGGGAGTCGGTGCTCGCCCAGCGTGGCCGCGCGCTAGGCGGCAGCAGCGGGCCCCGCGCGAGATTCACGCGGGATCAGCGGCCGCGCGGTCCCTCTTGGCCGGGGCGGGGCCGGGCGATCCGGGGCGCCGCGGTCGCGCTCGGCGCAGTCGGAGCTTCGCGAGCCGGGCGGGACGAGCAGGATGGCGGCGGCAGCGGGCGAGGCGCGCCGGGTGCTGGTGTACGGCGGCAGGGGCGCGCTGGGCTCGCGATGCGTGCAGGCGTTCCGGGCCCGCAACTGGGTAATTCGGCCGGGTCTCCGCGGGCTGGGGCGGTCGGGAACGCTGGTGACTGGGGAGCAGAGGGGCCTACCCGCGCAGCTCGGGAGGGCCGACTGGATAAAGCCGGGGCCCCTGCGCACCCCCAGACGGGAGTGCTTGCACGAGCATGCACAGGTTTACGTTCCTGGCTACGAGTGCGTGCCCAAGCCGCGCCCTACGTGCCGGGCCTGTGCTCTGCAAGGAGGTGAGGCATGGGGCTGTTCGCTCCGTGTCTGCCAGGCCTAGAAAGTCGGGTAGGGCTCCGGGGAGAATTCCAGAGGGGACTGAAGGGGAGCGGGCTTGAGGGGACAGGGAGAGACAGTGAGCAGCAGGCTCTGGAATTTGGCTGCCTGGCGTGGGTTACTAGTTCTGTAATCGTGAACTTACTGCTTAACGCCCTCGAACCTCAGTTTCCCATCTGTAGAATGGGAATAATGTTAGTATTTACCCCTTAGGGGATTATGCGGATTGAATGGGATCATTGGTGTGGTTGTCAAGTATTGGACTCGTGGTAAAAGCTGTTGAAATGTTAGCTATTAGTATTACTATAATTAGCCCGTTCCTTCAGCCAGCCTCGGACCTGATATTTTGAAGGCTCAGCCCCGCAAATGCTGGTGGCTTCTTCGTTTTGCAAAGACAATTACAACTACTTTGCATAATCAGGTATTGCTCCCTGCAGGGGGCAAGTAGGAGTGGAACTGACACGTGGTCAGAGTCCCTGACCCCAGCCACCAGGCGGGGCTCAGCTCGTTCCTGGTGGAGACTCCGCCCTGTGTCTTCTCAGCTGCATCTGTCCCAGCACAAAATGTGCCGGAAGCTCTGGGGAACTTCCCCTGAGGGGTTTAGTTAGTACCCAGGGTGCCCAGGAACCAGGGAGAGAGGGTTTCCTTCTGGTTCAGAACCTGGCTATAGGACTTCTAAGGGATTCTAAGCACACCACTGGCTTCCTACTCTGAACTTGGGAAGACTGTTTTGAGGCGTCTTCCAGGGTCTGCAGGGGTGAGAGTGGGAACATGTAAGGAGTGCTGGCGGCAAGCTAGGCACTGTATTCCTACATACTCTTAATTTCATTTACTCTTCCCCAAACTTGAATGTAGTGGATTCTCTTGGTATCCATGCGTTCCAGAGGTGAAGCCTGTGGGTTCCCCTGGTGGGGGCACTTGGCAGAATCTGGCACGCTGATTTACCTGTCTCCCCCGCCCTATCTCTTCATTTCTAGGAGCTCTGGGAGGGGCTGGGATACAACCTTTTCTTTGTGTCTGTATCCCCCGTGGCTGGTGACAAAGAAGTAGTGAGTGTTTTTGAATAAATGCTGTGTTCTTCAAAGCTTGTGGTAGAGATATTTATCTC